TCACTTTAGTAGTATATCTGTAATTCGATTGTTTAGACGGATATTGGTGTTCTGTGGTTTAGACACTCGCGTTTACGAATTTGATAGTATATTCAACAGTATGAATGATTACGTTTGTATTGTCTGCCCGCGTTCTCGCTACTGGCCGAGCCGCGCGTCGCGGCGTCGTTCCGCCCGCCCGCCCAGATGTTATCTAAGATCACAAGTTTGCTCCATATATTGAACTGAAAGCGATTTTTATAGAGAAATCGTAATCTGTCTTTGCTTATCTTCTCGCATGATATAACATTAAAGTATCAGATAATGAAGACAGAATTTAGGTACATGTGAATAAAAAATATCTCTACGGATATATTGCATTTTAACAGTTTTAAACATATAAGCAAAATAATCTTATAATCATAATTGAAATTTTCTAATTATATGTAATTATAAATTGTTTTTCGATTATCTTATTTAATATTATAAACTCGAAAGTTTATGAGTTTGCAAAGATATATTGATGGATGGATGTTTGTTACTCTTTCACGCAAACTATTGAATGGATTTAAAATGAACTTTTCAATAATAGAACTTGTACATCAGAATAACACATAGGCATAATTTTACGCAGGTGAAACCGCAGGCACAGCTAGTATCATTATATGAATGTAGGCAATATTTAAAGCTTTTATTACAAAACACATTTTATTTATTTTATTTATATATTACACAAAAGACAATTTCTAAAGTATATCAAGTATAAAATAAAACATCATAATAGATTCATACTTAAACTAATATAGCTAACTAAACTAAAATTGCAGTCTTGCACAAAGGAATACAAACAATCCGACTGAATGCGCTGAAGACGTCATAAAATTTTGCTATAAATCTGTTTAGGTTGCCATTGAAAAAAAAACTTCCTTTATTGTAAAAACTGTTGTAAATACAAATGAGTCAACAAATATCTACCCTGCTTGTCTCTTGTACCTTACAATTGCTACATCCCCGGGATACCTAGTTGTCGCCAATTGTGTTACTTGGTAAAGAGTTCTGTAAACATAACACTTAACGATGTTAACTTGGAATTTACTGTTGTCACATGACATTTAATCAGACCTACCTCCAGCTTCAACAGTTTTAAAATCCTCACGTATACATTCAAATACGTCAGAAAGCGTGAATTGATCATTCTCTTTCGGGACCTCAACATTAATTATTAGTGCTTGACATTTGGAAGATTCCAGAAATATCTATCTTAAAATCTTATACTGATAGATATTGCCAGAACCAAAGTAAAAATATCTTTAATTTTTACCAGTACATTTTTGTAAGTAAGAAATAGAATAAAAATAAAATATAATTATTCGGCTTTACTTTAATTTTATATAAATATACACCATAAATAATTCTACCTAATTGTTATATTTTCGTATAATATAATCTTTTTTTCCTTGTTCCTATCATTATAATAATATATTTAAGGCACTTTACACTCTCTATTGGGTAGGCTGTGCGCTTATTTGCCACGCCTCGTATGACAAAACTTTACGGACACCTGATAAGAATATTTATAAATGTCAGATAAGGGGTGTCTCTACAAAATTGGGGATACAAATTCAGCTACACTACAAATTAATACAAATTATCTCTTGTAAAAAGTTAGTAAATTTAGTTCGCAAATGTCAGAATATTTTTTTTCTTTTAACTGAAATCGCAAACTAGTTGTCGGTTTAAGCCTTTGTTACCCAAAGTGACAATTGTCTCCTATATTATATGAACAGCACCACAGTCATCGCGTCGCTGTGTGACGCCCGCCACATGTCCACGTGGGGGAAGGAGATTGTTAGTAATGTGGGCTAAAAACTCCATTGCTAACACTATACCATGTCAGGTTAACCTTAACGCGGTTCCCCCTGGAAATCATCATGGTAAATTTTCATTTCAGATGGGCTAACAGACCTCATGCTCATCTTATCATCCTCTACTGTTGCCCCGCTACCGTAAACCTTTAGCGCAGGTGGGTGCATCACATTATCATCAATAAAAAAACATGTCCACGTGACCACTATTGTACCCCATATGTTGCCATTCATAAGCCTACATAGCTTCATGCCTCCTGCATGTTCTGTAATTATACTGCAATGAGTTTCAGACAAGCTTAAAAAACTAATTAACGCAGAAACAAACGTCGTTAAGTCTACACAGACGGCAACAATAACCTTTACATAGTATGAAACAAAGTCGCCGACGCTGTCTGTTTACTTATATCTTTTAAATTACGCATTAGATTAAAACCCCTCTATTTAATGCTGAAAACTGCTTTAAATTACAGTTTTTAGATACAGTTATTCAAGAGGAAGGTTTATATGTAGAGGTAATATCTACATGCATGTTATAGTATAAAACAAGCCGAGAAATTGAAAGATTGTAATGCATCCGTGCGAAGTTAGGCCAGGTCGCTTGTTAAACTATAATTATAATGTCTACCTTGGTAAATAAAAAGAGTAACAGTCAAATATCATAGGTAAGGAAACAATAGGATTATTTTCGTTAAACCTGCCCACGTCTCAGAGCAAGAGGTCAGAAAGTACCTATATGCGGAGATACTGTTGATTTCTAATGCTTCATACAAAGTCCAAGAATTTTATATGCCCCAGGGACGTCCTATCATTATCACGTTTTAATTATGAAGATAGTGAACACAGCTGTGTATTATTAGAATTATTATTATGTCTAGCGACATTTATATTGTAAAGGAACCTGCCGACAATACTTAGCTGTATGTCATGTCATGATGCTGACAGATTTTATGGTACGTATAGAAGTAGCAATTTTTTTATACAATTACAGTGGCTATTTTTTACAATACTAATATGGATTACATGTCATCTGATGCTATTTTAAGTATTGCAATTTTTTTATACAATTACAATCAGCCTAATATAGATGCCTGCAATAGTCTCCATGGGATATCTGTGGTATCAATTGTGATAGAACATTAAAAAGTAAGCCATTATGCACTCAACACCGTTCCTTGCATTGGCATGAATACAATAACGCTAGCAGTTTGGCATGGCTAAGTTTTCTATGTATATATACGACCTCGGTGGTCTAGCGGTTTAGCACACCGCCTTATTTCCGATGGTCGCGGGTTCGATTCCTCGCACGGTACAAATATTTGTATTCATAAATACGATTGTTTATGTCTCAATCGGTCTGTTTTCTATGTATATTATGTATGTATTGACAAGAAAAATACATATAAGTAATTTACGTCACTTTTCTAGTACAACCCATGTCCCATAACACAAACTCTGTTTAGTTTGATATTATTAGACATAGTAGATACTAATTAAATTTTACTTTACTTTAACTTAGCGTAGCTACCACATAGTTTACGTGATTAGGTTAAGTATATAGACCGGTATACGTAACTACTCACCGGGATAAAATACAGCCTAACACAGTTAAAGCTCCTCGTTCCGAAAACTACGTGTATGCCAAGTTTTATGAGGGTACGTTGAATTGTTAAGACTAAACAAAGACACAAAAAGAAACTTTTACAGCTGTAGCTGTACATTGACGACTGTAATCACAAATTGCGTTAGATAGGTACCAGGTAAAGGGAACTGTTATTCATGTCGATTAATTACCCCATTGCTAGCAATGTAAGTACAATATGTGTAGGGAGGTTCCCCCTGGAAACGATCATGATAAATTTCTGGTGAATTTGCCAAGATCAATGGAGTAATTTACCTGATTTGGTAATTCGTAATATATCATAGGTATATACCGGTAATGGTAAGAATACGTACGTATGTTCCTATGTATTACCTATACCTACTTGATTTTTCATATTACCAAATATTTGTATTTACCTAAATAACCGAAATATAAAATTCCGATGTCTTCAGGTCCAAGTCCATAAAGTGTCGATAAAGGTAGTAACGTTACATTATCAGTTTCAATGTTTTTAATTGCACATTGTAACATGTTGGCATAATTAGGTAAACATAAGTAAATCACGTGTGTGGGCTAAAGAACTCACGCACACATCTCAGCATATAACCTCAATAAAAAAATACTCAGCGAACAGCCAATTAAATCGAGAATATAAAACCTACACTACTTAATTAATTCAGTGTTTATGGAATTACAAAAATTAAGTGTCACAAGTGACAGATATAGTCCTGAATAGTCTTGTTTATTTGCTATTACAGATAACCTATACCACTTGGATGGCCAGGTCATTGAAAACAGATAACAGGTTGCGGATATAGTAGAATGTTATAATATAAGTCCGAGAATGACTAATTAGACAAAGCACCTGCTTTTAACAAGTAAACAAGGAAAATTCTGCAAAAGTAGGATAAGTAAGAAAAGTTCACTACCATTATAGTGAACCCTAGAACTTGCCATTACTTTGTTTTTATGACGAACTTTTATAATTATATGCAACAACAACCAGGAAGATGTTTATTTTACAGGGATAATAATGCAGATGCGTGCGCTAACGATATATGCTGGTGAGGCATCGTGTAGGATGATATGAGTATAAAGTCAGTCAGTTTGCCCATCGTGGCAAATTCACCAAAAATTTACCAGAATGGTTTCTAGGGCAACTGCGTGAAGGAAAACCGGTATATGATTGGTAATAGCACAGATAGCATATTATTACATACTAAAAATGGGGCTAATATCCCCATTACTTTCAATCTCCCCCCTCCCTCCACGCCTTATTTGGCAAGGAAGGTTTTCATGACAGATATTGTCTTCGGGTTAGATTCCTCGCACAGTGCAAATATTTGTATTCATGAGTAGGGTTGCTTGTGTCTGTCTGGGTGTTATCTAGGTACATTATGTGTCTATTTACAAAATAGTATATATATCAGTTATCTAGTAGGTACCCATAACACAAGCTCATTGATACGGTTTTTACTAGAATTCCTTCTCCATGATTTATATGTATAATAAATAAATAGATAGAACTTCAAATAATAAACAATAATATTGCTATAAATTTATTTCAACATAACATTTTGTAAATCAACATTATGACTTGTATTGTTGTGTTCAAACATTTTGCCAAACAATGAACTGTATAATTCATTAGTAGCTTCATCAGTCCATGTGTTACATTTCTCTGGTGCCATATAATTCACTAGTTGATTATGAACTACATATTTAATCTTTCTTCCTTTTGTTGCTTTAGTATCCACTTTCCTTTTCATTTTGCTCCTCATTTGTTGGAGTGCTATCCATTGTCTACTCAACTGTACAGGATCAGATATATCTGCTGATTTACATTCAATCAATTCCCTAAGTAACTGATGATAGAAATCACTATCATCAAATATTTCAGGTATATATTCATCAACATCTTTCCTATTTTTTATCACATTATGTTCTCCATTTTCCTCTGTATTTTCCACATCTTCAGGTCTCTTATAACCAACAATATCATATTCTGACCTTTTTAACTGTGTTCTCTTAATCAATTTTTCCCTATCTGATAGAATATATGATATTTGCTGTAAGATAGTATTTGTTGGTGCATTTTTAATACTAGTTGCAGTTGCTAACCTTGTTTTATCATTCCATTTCTGGATTGTAGTATCTCTAAATGATTTGAAAGATTTATGAGATGTAGCTATTTCTTTTTCATAATCATCTAGCTTTCGTTTCTTTGATACAATGATGTTATTCTTCTTTGAAGGCTTGGTGTCGCCTATGACAGGAGTATCTTCTGCATCTGTGTCTGAAGGTATTTCTTCATTATCAGTGTCACTTGGTATTTCTTCATCACTATCTGCTTTGTTCTCTGTCTTGAGTTCATGTGACTCCTTACTTTTCAATAAACATTTAGTCTCAGGGTATTTCATAAATAACATATTTTGTAAGTTAATAAACCTGTAAGGAACATACATATTAATTAAAAATTATATCAAGATAAAGGTAGTTTCTATTACTATAGAATTAACATTTTATCATTAATATTTTCTTAAAGAAAAGCACCGAACCATAATAGAAAATGAGTAAAATTAAAAATAAAAACTATATCTATACAAAATAGAATAGATTTCAGGGAACTAAGGGTCAGTTTTATATACAATGTGACCATTTTATCTGTGTCAGTACTCGCAATGTGAACTTTTTAAGATCTCATAACATAATTTTTTAATAACTCATAATTTTAAAAAATTAAAATTATAATAAATGTACTTTAAACATGAATTAAAATACAGAAAAAATATGTACTAGTATAATTATCATACTTATCTAATACAGCAGATATATTTGTTTTTGTAGCATTTACATCATCAACATAATCCTTATTTACTTTTAACTCCTCAAAAGTGTCCGGCAAAGGCATCTGGTTAGCTGTGTTTACACATCTCTGTAGATGGATTCTCATCTCTAGCAGTCCTTCCCAAATTAAAAGCTGATTTCTTACACTTGCACCTTTCTTTGCTTCTTCTGATACATTCTGCTTTTTTACATGTTCAAACTCCTCTTTAGGTGGCTCTTCCATTTGGCTAATATCATAACCATCTTCTTCATCGCTACCATCATTATCCTCACCAGAATCTTGAGATTTTGACTTTTGATACTTGGATATACTATAATCATCGTCATCACTTTCGTAATCATCATCCGAAACATCTTCACCAGAATCAGCACTATCTTTTAATTTTTTACTTATTTGAATATTGTTATCAGTGTCAGAGTCTTCAATATCAGATTTCTTTTCTTTTATATTCTCATAGTTGTCACTTTCAGAATCTGTGATTTGTCCATTATTGGCAGTTTGTTTTTCGTTGAAGTCGCCACTATCTTCACTTCCAGAACTTTCTGTTGCCTGCTCGTGTTCTTTCCTCGATACAATTTTGCCCTCATATTTTTTACTAATGTCACTTAATAAATTAACGTTCCTTTTTCGAAAATCACTGATTGCTGCTTCGTCTTCACTATCTGAACTAAAATCAGCTCGTGTAACAGTACGTGGTTTGGTACCAAATACTTGATCATCTTCGATATCAGCTATAGGTTTCACTGTCAATGCATCTGCTATTTTTTCTGATAATGTAGCCTTTGAAAAGAGGTCACTCTTTTGTTTAAACTTCATCTTTATGTTATTATTGTATGTTATTTATTAAAGTTAACCAAAAAACATCAAGATATTTAAAGCATGCTCCTGTTTATGACAGAACAACAAAAAAACTTTGACGGATTGATGTAACTGACAGTAATTTGACAATGATATGAAAGCTTAATTTCACTGACTCGACACGTCTATACCGCTGAAACTAAGCAAATTATCACTATATTTCTTGGGATCATTTCATACTCACTTACGAATTAGGGTGTACTTAAATAGTCGTCATGTTTATTATATTTAGTTCATAAAATACTCATGAACAAGTGCTAACTAAGTTAGGTTTCTCTAATTTCTTTGTTTAAATTATATATGTGACGTCACATTAACATCGACTTTACTGGAAAGTTTTGGCGCGAAAAATGACACATGAACAATCATTTGTAAATTTTGTCAAATAGTATCCGAACGAAAAACAAAACTTAATTTAGTTCCATATTTAAGAATTATTTATTATACTATTCTTCAAATTAATCATTTTATTATCCTTCTCCAATAAAGTAACAAATATAAAAATGCCCAGGAAAGCTATTCCAAAACCTAAAGCCGTAAAGTGGCTAAGTGAAGAAATACCAGATCCGCAGAGTATATCAAACTCTTTTTATCACTACCAGTAAGTAAATTTCAAAACAACTACATAAAATCTATTGTTTTGCTTAATTACATTTAGTAAATTTGTTATAGGAAGTTTCAGTTTGAAAATATAGTAGCTCAAATCGGAGATTATGTTTTGGTGTCCAATGCTGATGCTGCAGAACCAGATACAGAAGAAGGCTGTGATTCTGCCCAAATATTATCGTTATACGAAGATAGATCAAATAATAAAGATCCATTTAGAGCTAAAGTCAAATGGTATTCGAAACCAAGTGACCTACCATCTTCATGCTTCAACAATACAGAACCAATTTCCTTCCACGACAGAGAGGTTAGTAACTTTAGTATTTACCTAAAATATCATATTGGGGAACTTTGTATGCTCTATAAGTATTACTCTTTGTCTGTCCAATCACATATTAACATTATTTTTAAACAAAGATCTTAGGAGTTCACCTGCTTTTCATGTGTTACATCAAAATTGAATTGACCATTACTTTGTTCCAGGTTATAGAGGATCATCGTCCTTTTGATACAGATGTATCAATTGAAACTTTCTTCAAAAAATGTGCAATAATATTTAAACTTTCAAAGGACATTGATGATGATCTGAAACTAGCTCCATACACTTACATTTGTCGTTATAGAATCATGGCTATTAGTAAGAAAAAAGTCCAATTAGAACCTGTCATGGAAGAGGAAAGAAGAGCACTTGAGCTACTACGTACACCCATGAAGACTGATAGCCCAAAACCTAGAACCCCTCGAACTCCAAGCAGCTTGGTTAAAAGAATGAGCAGAGTATCTCTTTCTGAACAAAAGAACTGGAGTGTATCAGCCACAGATGGCACCAAGTTACTTCTTAAAAGAGCCATTTTAGCTGATAAGACTGAAAAAAGTTCACCTAAAAAATCAACACAAAAGGGAACACCAAAGAAAACCAGTATAGAAACACCAAAGAGTTCGAAAAAGGTAAACAAGAATAACTTAGAGGAATTACTGTCTATGGAATTACAAGAAAACTCTGATGATGAACTGCCAACATTGATCATAAGACAACATGTACCAACAACACCAAAGAGGAAGCAGTCCATATCTAGGACAGCTGAAGTCACACCTAAGAAGATGTTGGTATTTGAAGATGTTGAAAGGGAGACTTATTCTACTCGATCAGGCAGAGTAACAAAGAATCCAATAAATTATGAAGAACTAGAAGTATCTCCTGTTAAACATACACCAAGGAAGTCATCACGAAATATAAATGTTGATGATGATGATGATGACTTTAAACCTATGCCAAAGACCCCAAAAACTCCAAGAACACCGAGAGCTACAAGGGCTACACCATCCCAAACTCCAAAACGAAGTGTTAGAAAGACAACTAATCTTACACCATCTTTACATTCCAGAATGCATTCAGTGGAAAATATTAATGGTATAAAAATTATTATTATTCGCATGATTTCTGAGAGTTGACTGCATTGCAGTATTTCCTGTGACTATATTTATCTACAAAACAGTAATATCTTTCTTATGTGAAAATGTTATTGTTACTAAATAAAATACCTATCAACTTGACAAATGAGATCTATACCAAGCAACTTGGTGCATTTATATTTAGGATCAAATCTTGTGGAATGGACTTATAGGTAACATGACTTTTTCCTGTAATAATTTTACTTTATAGGAAAAAGTCATGTCATAATATAATTATTATTTATTTTAAATTTATCTAATTATATTTCTACTCTCTACATATTGTAAATTATCCTACTTATTTTCAGAACTTATCAAAGATAATAATTCTCTACCTGGCAGAGAGAGTCAAATGGATGAAATATTATCATTTGTGCGTAATAAACTTTTGGATGGTACAAGTGGGTAAGTATAATCTCAAATAAATATTGAATAGAGAAGGAGCAGATGTTGTTATGAAGCAAGTAAAGTTTGGAACTATTGTATTTTACCAAATTGGTGCATCCACTAGCACCAACTGTGGGCACATGTGGATGTTAAAGACATCAGTTAGTGAAGAATTTACTAGGAATTAACTTGTCATAGTTATTACCTACTAAGTTCACATGATATCATCATAGCAAGTTATAAAATGTTTAAATTACTGATGACCATGACTTTTATTACTTCTCTATATATTTTATTATCTACTGCTAATTATTCGCCCACAAGGCTAGGAAAAGCATTCATGATGTTAACAAGTTATAATGTCTGTATTATACTGTTTTAAAAAGCATTTTCTCTTTAGGTGTATGTACATATCAGGAGTACCAGGGACTGGGAAAACTGCAACAGTCTGTTCAGCTTTAAAGATCCTCAAGGATGAAGTAGACCTTCCCGATTTCCAGTTGGTAGAAGTCAATGGAATGAGGATAGCTGAACCAAGGCAAGCATATGTGCAGATTTACAAACAACTAACAGGTACATTTATAATGTATTAAAAATATAAATATATGAGAATGTAAGAATATTTTAGGAATGCTTATAGTACATACTATACCCACTCCCAAGGTTCCCATAACATTTGTCGCATTTTCACACCCATACACTTGTCATCCAAAATACACACTACAAAACCAAAGTATGATGATTCAGGAACTTTACACTATCTAAAGCAGATCATGAATTCAAACATATAAAGCTTTATCTGTTTGAATTCACGAACGAAACATGTACCGATGTACATGTAACCCGATTTATATAAATCTTAAGAGTCCCATCATTCAACTATACCTAAGAAAATGTCTTTATTATTGGTTTTACATTTATACCAATTTGTATTTCAGGAAAATCTGTTGTGTGGGAACAGGCTTGTTCCCTATTAGAAAAACGGTTTACAAACCCTGGCCCCAGAAGGACACCTACAGTATTACTAGTTGATGAGGTAACAAGGTTTTACAATTAACTTTTTCATTATATATATTATACAGTTACTATACCTTTATTGTTATTATTCTTATTTGCACACTCCTAGTAGAAACATGTACATGGGCTTCTTACTGGGTAAAATTTCTTGATAACTAAGTTCATGATGATCATGATATTATTAAGGATATAGATTTATTAACTACTAGCTGTACCCACGACTTCGTCCGCGTAATTTTAATTTTCTAAAATAAAAGTAGTCTAAGTTACCCCTTATTACATCAGCTACCTGCCAAAAAAAGTCCCGACAAAATCGGTCTAGCCATTTCAGAGATTAGCTAGAACAAACAGACAGACAGAGAAAAATTGTAAAAAATGTTATTTTGGTGTATGTACCGTATTTATATTCATATGCATATACCTAGTAAAAAACGGTTATCTCAATATTACAAACAGACACTCCAATTTTATTTTTATTATAATATTATATTTTTATATTTAAGATTATTTTTACTTATATAAAGCATGTATACCTAATGATACAAATGATACATTCCTATTCTGTACTTAATTATATGGATAAGGACATCATTTTCGTAAATATCGTAAAACGACTAAATGTGTGAAAGGAATTTCATTTCATTTCTGTCCTCTCTGCTTAGCTTCAAGAACATAGACTTTACATTCGTGTATACATGCTAGTCTCCGATCTTGTCTTGAGTTTATTATATTGTTGTTTTTATATAATTATAGTTGGATGCCCTCTGCACACGGCGTCAAGACGTCCTGTACAGCATCATGGAGTGGGCAGCACATAATTCAGCCTTGCTGACTGTATTAGCGGTCGCCAACACTATGGACCTACCGGAGCGAGCCCTTGCAGCCCGTGTCGCTTCCCGTCTCGGTCTCACCCGCCTCACATTCCCTCCATACACGCACAGCCAGTTGCAGAAGATAGTGGCAATCAGACTGGCTGGTGCTAATGTCACACCTGATGCTATTCAGTTAATTGCAAGGTAAAAGTTATACTCAATAGTTTTTAAATTCAATAGAGGTTTAATTGATTATTATTATGGTACTTACCGTTTGTCAAGAACCTGTCTTACAAACAATAAAACTTAAGTCAATTGACTGTCTACAGAGCTCTTATTCTATTAGGGTGATTATATTTGGCGTTTGTGTATCTGTAGTGTTTCTTTTTTGTGGGAAACATGATAATTGATCATTTAGACTGATCTTTATGTAAAAGAATATTATTTTCACATTTTATAATTTTCATGTCTTGAGCTCCTTCTCTACACACTGGCATTATTAAACATAGCATGGCAATATTATCCACTCTGCTGAGGGCCCCTGTATTTGAAAATATGATGTTAGATTAGATTTACTTCAAACCATTAAGCAATAACGCGTAGGTTGCTTTTTTAAGCCCACATTGAATCAACAACTTGTTTGATATTCCAAATTGTACTAAAACTTTTGTTTTTTTATTGCAGAAAAGTAGCGGCAGTTTCAGGCGACGCCCGTCGTGCGCTCGCATTGTGCTCACGAGCTATAGAGTTGGCCGGACCTGAAGGCGCTGGACTGAAGGAGGTGCAGCAGGCGTTAGGCGATGCTGCCTCTAGCGCTGCTGTCAGAGCCATTAAGAATTGTTCACCGGCCGAGAGGCTTATGTTGAGGGCTGTAGCAGCAGAGGTTTGTACTTGCTGAAATCTGTACTGATTTTCTGTTATTTTACAAACATAAGTATAACATGAATAAGTTGTATAAAAATATAATTAATGTATAGACACAAATCCTTTACCATCTAGGCTATACTAGGCCATCATAGGTCATCAGTAAGTATAAAACTTATACTTACTGATGACCTATGATGGCCTCAGTAGTCTAGTGGTTTTGCAGAGTGCTTAATCTGTTTAAAAACATTATCTAAATATTTATATCAGTTCTCTAGTAGCCATAACACAAACTCTGTTTAGGTAAATGGTTACCGTAGCCTATCAACGCCATTCATTGCTATGATTTCCTAAGATTTGCTTATATATTTTCATTCATTTTAGGTGGAAAGAACTGGCTCAGATGAAACGACGCTCTCCCGTGCTCTTCATACTGCCGCAGCTATCGTAGCATTAGATGGACGACCGTATAAATCAGCCTCCAGCATACGCGCACCAACCCCGTCGCAAGCGCAGACGATATGTTCTCGACTCGCTGCTATACGCTTATTATTATTAGAACCAAAACCATCCGAGCCCAGATTACTTTTAAATGTTAGTGCCGATGATGTACATTACGCTACCCGACAAATTGTTGTGTAAAATGTTCAAAGGTATTCCAATTGTATATTATTTTTAATTTAAAATTTGTTAATTTTTTTAAATTGTAAAATCTCTTAAATTAACACATTCGTGTAATTTTGTTATCAAACATTATATGAATAGTTTGTAATTTTCAACATTAAATTAATGGAATTAATTTTTAAGAATAGCTAGGTGAAAATTAATCATAAACAAAAATGGACTAAAATTTAATATTATTTAACAAATTTGACTGATGCAATAAATAATTTATAGACACATTATTTTCATAACCATTTAGTGTGTATTCAGGAATCCCCTACTTGAATTATTTTAATTAAAGCTTCTATATTGTTTTCCTTAACAGCTTTTCTGCTCGCCGACACAACCGCTTTACTGTATTTTCCCACTATAAAAAATAATGAGTTCTGTACAAATACTTAATATCTATGGTACAAATATGGAAGGTTCTGTATACAATTCTCATTACAGACATGGTTAAAACCAGCGATTATAATTATTACGAGAAAGCATTACGTGTAACATACTAAATAATTGTTAATCAATTTACACAGCAAAATAAAGCAGATGTCCCATCTGTTCAGTTAAACTGTTTTGATTGTAAGATTCTGATCTATATTTTTTTTTCACTATGTATTTAGTTAATTGCTTACCTCGTAATCGAGTTGCTTGTTGTAAAATAGTATGAAGATTCTTAAGCGAAGTAACTGCTTGCTCTTGAGTTGCTCTACGTATATGACACCCTGTTAATAGTTCCTCATTCAACATGATTACTTCTTTATATCGATTCAGCATTTCTTTTCTAAAAATTTTATAATTATTACAAATAAATCCACAATATTGTTTTATATAAAAGCCTTTATGGTACAACTTACAAATCGTACGCCGCTGCATCTTGTGCTGCAGGTAACAATGCAGTAACTAATTGTGCGCGCTCCGCTGTCTCAGCGGCTAATCGAGATCGCATTTCCCCTATTTCTGAAACATTCTCCATTTCTACACGAAGTTTCTTTTCAGCTTCCGGGAAATGAGCGACCGACTGAAAATTATAATACTCTTAATTATTTTTAGAAATATTCATATATCTATATTTCCAATACTACCTAAAGTTTTTAAATATTGAAAATTCCCGCTAAATTAAAAAATAATCTTTCGGCATACCAACGAATACTCATTCAATGTCAAAGTAACCGTGTACCCAACAGAAAATTAAAAATATTGAATATATATAATAAAAAAATACAATTAAATTATGTCATCTTAAAAAAATTACATTTTATAAAATATACTGAATGTCAATATGAGAATTATCAAAATAAAATCGAAATCGATAATTTTAAAGTCGATTATAGTAGGATTATTTAAAGTAGAACAAGTCTAATCAAAATGGCGGCACGTGTGTCTGTCATCTGCCATCTGCCCGGCGTCTACTGTCACAATTAAGCGTCATTGAAATAAACTGAAAAACTAACTTTATATCATAAAATTCTTTGAAAATGGTTGAAAATAATGAAGTAGAACTATCTGAGGCCGAGGCAGAGCAATATGATCGCCAAATACGTCTGTGGGGTTTGGAGTCTCAAAAAAGATTACGTGCATCAAAAGTATTAATCATCGGTCTATCAGGTCTTGGTGCTGAAACCGCTAAGAACATAATTTTGTCAGGAGTCAAAAGTGTTTGCCTCTTAGACAACGAGAAATTAAAAGAAATCGACCTTTACTCTCAATTTTTAGCACCTCCTGATAAAGTAGGCGAAAACAGAGCCGAGGCGTCACTACAGAGAGCGAGGGCATTAAACCCTATGGTGGACGTCACTTCAGAAAACAAATCCGTGGATGAGTTACCCGATGAGTATTTTACTACATTTGACATTGTATGTGCAACTGGTTTAAAGCAAGAACAATTGGAACGTATTAACAATGTATGCCGTGACAGCAATAAGAAATTCCTTTGCGGCGATGTCTGGGGTATGTATGGGTACATGTTTGCGGATCTCGTTGATCATGAGTATTCAGAAGAAATAGTGCAGCATAAGGCCGTGAAACGTGGGCCTGACGACACAGAGAAAAATGCCCGAGAAACAGTTACTATCACAGTGAAACGCCGAGCGATCTATGTGCCCTTGCAAAATGCTTTGTCTGCGGACTGGACGAAGCCAGAATTGCGTTCGCGGTTACGTCGCGGAGACCCATCCTACTTTGTTATGAAAGTTCTGCTGCGCTTCAGAGACGAGTATAACCGCAACCCTGATCCAGCAAAAAGGAAAAACGACACCGAAATATTGTTGCGTATGCGTGATGAACTTGTCAAAGAATTAGCACTTCCTGTAGGTTTTGTGAGTGATGCATTGTTGACGGATGTATTTGGCACTGTATCGGGAGCTGCTGCTGTGGTGGGAGGAGTTATTGGCCAGGAAGTTGTGAAAGCCGTGAGCCAACGGGAACCACCACACAATAATATGTTTTTCTTTAACCCTGTTAAGTGTGTCGGTTTTGTAGAACTTTATGGTCAGTGAAGTTGATCTGTGTAGGTTATAAGAAGTTTATAAGATAAATAGCAATTATTTAACTATAAATATCGAGTTTCATTGTACTAAACCACCTATACAACTATATATTACTTAAGCAAGGTAACAAATACTAAAATGGATGTTTTTATTAGTTCATACAATAAATACTGGATGGATTCATATGAAATTTGGTACACATATAAATACAAATTCTAGACGAACACATAATATACTCTTTACTACAGCATAGGGGAAGTAGGTGAATAGATATAATTATCATTATTACCTGTAAGTCAGATAAGTTTAAATAAATGGCCAAGCTCTGTACAAGATCACCAGCAAGTCGTATATCAGTTGTACTAAACTTGACCTGCCCATCTGCTTTGAAATCCATTTCCAACCGAGTCCTATCTCTCAAACAAATGAAACTTATGTGAAGTTCTTTTGTCTCTTCTGATTCTAGTTCAATTTCCTGCTCTAGAAGGAAGTTCTGGTTCAACCAAATACAGATCCTTTGAACTCTCTCAGTAATGCGGAATGTAACATTGCTACCATGTTTTGTGTTTGCTAATGATGGAGGAGCTAGGGTGTACATAGAAAATCTTGGCAGTTGTTTTGTAAGTTCAAATATATGGAACTGTTCACTATCTCCATAACCAACTAGTGCCTAAAATGGATACAAAAAGTAAAAATTAATTGCAATATGTACTAATAGTAATAAGATAAAAATAATCTTTTCCTTCACCCTTAAGGAACTGAACATAATATACTTTTACTTTTATAAAACCTGGAGATGAGAAAAACTGTTGAAACATTTAGGTACTTTGTATCATTATTATATTACTTACCAACTGATATTGATTAATAACAATATACCTTTAGGACTCATTTCTTAGATAGGAGAGGGACTCTGAAGCATTGTCAAATGTGAATGTTGTGATAAATACAAAACATGATATATTTCGTGGTATTATAATAATAATAATAATCATCTTTATTTGTCTCAAAAACTAGTACAATTGTTGCCCATATACAATAATAAAATTTAAAAGTAATGAAGTAGACAAAACGGTCTATAACTCTGGGGGCAGTGAGTCCAACATCTCTGCTATTCTGTTATAGCCTTTACCAGTAAATTAATACAATAAGAGACCGACGACGACGATGGCACATTAAGTCAAGTTCTAAACTACTACTAACAAAGTAAGCATAAAAATTGACAATAACCAAACAAGATTACAAACTAAAAAAATTTGACAATAACAAACTTAAAAAGGATTACTTACAAAATTAAATAAAAACTAAAAATGTAGGTATATTTGAATCTAAGATGATAGGGGGTGTTTTTGTCAGTCTTTTCAACACGAAAGAGATGTGGTTTTTGTTTTTCAGCAAAATCAGAACTTATTATTTTTCACCGTATGTTGGTAGGTAAGTCAGTAAGTATCACCAGTATCACTAAGCATATAAACATATTATATATATAAACATTTATTATTTTACCTTTATATGCACATCAACTGGTACATCTCTTGGAGGCTTCAGTGGTACATGCAGAATGGATCGAAGATGAGCAGGTAGCGGATGTCGCGCCAACATCTCCCCAGTATTGAATACACCCTCCGCCAGAATTAACGCCGCGCGGACAATCGTCTCATTATTAGTAGATATTGCTAAATTCAAATTTCCCTGCATCATATCAAAACACATTCACCTAGTTTACTTTTAAGAAAACCAAATGATTTTACAAATTAAAATAGCGTAGTTTTAACTCTGCTATATCAAGCTGATCGAGGAAAAAGTTGATGTCGTGTCATATCAACAACTACAGAGATTGAAGTAAAATGGAAAGAACTCCAACGACAAGAGGGTTTTAAATCCACCAGATCGAGAAAAAAGCTGGAGTCGTCTCGTATCAAAAACTAAAGAGGGATGTTAACGTATCCGATATGAAAAAATATCTGTAAATTGTAACCGAATCTGATATAATAGTACCGGATAGGGGCGGAGCCTAATTGCGACACGTTCTGTAGCCATTGTATTAGTTAGGTATTTGTATTTTACTTTTGAAATTGCTAAAAAAATTAATATCCGTAACCGAAATTATCCGAAACTAACGAAATAATCCGAAATAATTTCATATCCGCATCCGTATTCGTATCCAGTATAGTAATCATTACTATATCCGAAACCTATCCGTATCTGAAATTTCATATCCATAACATCCCTGCTAAAGAGATTGATGAATAATCATGGAAAATGGCAAGAACTACAACGACAGAAACTCTGCATCACTAAAATGGATTTTAGAGTTTTATATTCTCAGTGTGACCAAGTATAGAAACACGTTTGTTTTATTAATCTCTAAACACCATCAGTTTTATAACCCAGTTTGAGAATCTGATAAATATCCCAGTTTAATCTATATCTGTACTACAGACTAAATATTGATATAGTAGGTACCTATCTATATCAGATATAATCAATTATGACTAGATTTTTTTAAGTCGGTTGGTAAATGCACTAGCAGTTAGGTACCAATGTTTATTTTTGTTAGTAAATACTATTGACATACTGAAATATTTATTTCATCTGCTTCTTCCTTATCCCATATTGAAATATTTATTTATATCTACTAATTTATTTTAATGTTCAAACCTGTGCAAAAAAAAACATACTCATTAATATAAATTTTTGTATATCCCAGGAATGGACAATTTCTTTAAGTAGGTACACGAGCTCTATTTACCTCATCAGGTACTGCGCTAACGGCGACCTGCAAGCGCGTGTTAGTTGGCATTGCACTCATAGGACGGTCAGGACTCTCCAGGCTTAACGAGCTGCTAGCAGCATTGGCTTCATAATGCTGAAGTTCAACTAATAATGCTTGTTTCTTATTGAATAACTCAGTAATGGCCATCCTGTCTTCTTCCGTTGGCATCTTCTTTGATGTTGCATTGAAACCGGCATTTTCTTGATACGGAGAGAAACCCAAAACTGATGAAATAAAAGAATAATTATATTTACCCAGGACAATGTATACAGCGGCATCTAGTCCTAAAATAAGCAGCTTATACTATAGGTACCAAGTAACAGCCCCAATTAGTTGTACTATACTTAAATTCATTTTTTTGTAAAAACATAACACATATTATATGTATTATGTTTTTACCATATACATATACTATATATACATATGATATGTATATAAAATATCCAAACTCTCATACTTATGAATACAAGAGTTTCTATCGTATGAGAATAGAACCTGCGTCCATCGGAAGTAGTGCTATGTGCGGTGTTAATTTTGGCACACACATAAATCATATTCTAGATTAACACATGATATTGTTTTTACCAAGTTACGCGAGCAACGACACTGGATATACTTAGTTAGTCTTACTTCTTACTAATATTATAATAAAAACAAAAAAAATGTAGTATGGTGGATAGATGTTTGTTACTCTTTCACGCAAAAACTACTGCACGAGTTTTGATAAAGCTTTACAGTAATATAGCTTATACATCAGAATATAATTAAAAAATACATTATGTACCTAAATTTAAAATCGCCCATATTAAATTATATATGTCAAAGAAGTGTGATACAGACTAAGTTGCGCGGTACAGTTAGATTAAAACTATAGACTTAAATCACTATCCTGGATGAAGTAGGTACATAAAGAGTAGTTATCACGTGATACGAAACGACAGGAAGCCTATTGTGTCATTTAGTGAACAACAAAAAGATACCTTCGCCCCTATCAGATATGCAGACCAAATCGGGGGCACCAACAGAACGATAATCTGCAAGAAGCATTGCTGCTGCATTCATTCTCATTTGAACGCGTCGAAGTACCTTCCCCGTGTTTCCTTCACGCCAGTCAATGCGACCGTTGCCCCAACAACAGGCCAGCGAGTCCCCTGACCATCGTAGTGAGAGTGCATTTTGCTTTGACTAAAACATTGATAAATATAAACGAGTATATTTGATCACACTTATTAATAAACTAAGCAACGTCATGGTCGTGTAATATAATAACAACAAGTACAAATTACACAGCAGTATCTAGTCCCAAAACTAAGTAGATCTTGTGTTTTTTTTTTGTAAATTCATACATAATATCATATAAAATATCCTTATAAACAATCATGGATACAAATGTTTGTACCGTGCAAGGAATTATACCTATAACCATAGGAAGTATAGCGATGTGATATACCGCTAAACCACCGAAGCCATCATATAGGCTCATTCTCAATTTACACATCACGTACATCTTCTAGTCACCAACTTTCTTAAGAAACAATGAAAATTGAGATCGAAGGAGGAGGGGGGAGGGGGGCAGTAAAATGAGTAAAGTTGGCGTAACTTTAGATACGGATAGCCCTCATATCCTTAACTTTTTTATCTTAATTTCGCATCAAGTCAAAGTGGTAGTTTCTGTAGCAGTATTGATTAGCCAAAACGATATTATTAGTAATGTGGACTATTGCTAGCCCTATTACTAGCAAAGTATCAAGTCAAACCTGACTTGGATGGGCTAATCAGTATGGATTAACCAACGAAAGGTTTTAACGCGGTTCCATGAATCCATCGTAATTATCATGACTCTGCCCATCTTATCATCCTTCGCCAGTGTATACCGTTAACGTGGGCGCGTTGTATCATCCATAAAAAAGAAGTAGTGGTGGTTATACCTTGACTCTCCACAAACGTATTCCTTCTTCATAAATACCAATGGTCCCATTCGCCAAAGCATACGCAAATCTAACGTCCGACACTGCGGACAAGCATACGACTGGACCTGTCTCCGCCAGTTCCACAATGAACTGATTATTTTTCAGCACCCTGATGAATGAATCGTCACAGCCTATTATGAGCTGAAACCATATTTTAAGTTTCTTCAAGCGCCATACATTTATAACACCTACATCATGGGTGAAGTGATTTCGTAGTAAAATATGTAGAAATCTCATAGATATTAGAGAATTTTTTTAGTTAGTCTTAATTTAAAAACATTACATTAATTTCTTGTAACAAGTAGATAGTAGATAATGAAATCTATGAATATTCTATATTGAGTCTATGTCCATTGTCATGATACATTTTATCTTCACATCTATCAATTTCATTAAGTTCCGTTTAGCTGATTATTATGAAAAGGTAGCTTAGAAACAGACAGAGAGACAGACACTTTTGCATTTCTAATATCTAATTTTATTTATTTATTTATTAACAGTACAATACAATGTTATAATTTATCCTTAAAATGGGTGAAGTGGTTTCTTAGTATAATAGGTAGGAACCTCATTGTTCTTCAAGTTGTTTTTTGGTGACGGTCAGACTTGAAATCGCTACCTCTTGACCGTAATTTTTAACGTTGTAATAAGTTGCAATAAGTAATAAATAACTTGGTGTAAAGCATTTCACATTATATTTTATATATAACTAGCGGTATCGCACCGACGCGAATCTTTACAAATGTTTGATTTTCTCAGCCGCTTCTGTACGCGCATGTATTATACACACAAACTATCCACTTGAATAAATCTATCTATTGCTAAAAACTGCATTAAAATCTGTTGCGTAGTTTAATGTAAGCGAATAGACAGTGGCATTGACGGTGGCGGTGTTTTATACTATGTAAAGATAACGTTTATTATTAATTTTCAAACCTCGTTCTCTCCATCCTTGTCGAAGTCGAAAGCGATCATATCATACACTTTGCCCCCAACAACATTCCAAAACAATTCATTTCCTTGGCCATCGAGACCTTGCACGGAGCTATTTCCACCAACGATCACCAGCGTCTCGTTATATTTAGCAAAGTTCCCTGTGATGATGACGTTCACGCCATCTGGAGCCTCTTTGAAGAAGAGATCCGTATTTTCATTTACATCGTATGCTGCAATTGTTAAAATAAATATAATAACCCTGGATAATCCACACAGCGCCATCTAGTCCATAATGCGCTTGCTTATGGATTTCTCAGTTTGCCCTATGGTTGACTGGTAGAAAACGCTCGCCATATGTAGATTTATATATTGTATTTGTGTATTCAGGTTTAAATAAATACATATGTATATATTTTTTCTAAATACGAACATAGTCAGCACACAGACCAGTACAAACAATCATACTAATGAACACAAATCTTTGTACCGTGCGAAAAATCAAACCCACGACCAGCGCTAGTGCTAAACCTCTGGACTACCGAGGCCGTAAAATAATATAATAATTTAGTTACCTAATATCTGAGTAGGGGATCCAATGAGAAGCATGTCCCTTCCACAGTCTGGTTTGATGGGCCCCGCGGCTACTGCGATGACAGCCTGACTGAGGTTCAGTTCAGAAACCTCTCCATGAGCTTCTGAGCGTTGAGCCCGTCCACTTGCGATGCCGCCATGAGGGTGGTGTATTATAATCTATTGTATCATATCAAAAAGAAACTACACATCATGTTGTGGTTTTAAAGTGCATTAAATTTTGTAAATAATAGATATAATTGTTAGGTATTGTTCCACGTGATGTCTACGGCAACCTTTTATGGTCGCACCGGTTGCCATCGGCAGGGACTTCATTCCCATACGAATGTACCCATACGAAGTGGTGTCACCATTTTGGTTCCAGTTCCAGACAGTGCGGTTTCAAAGGAGCTTCCTCCCGCGTAGATATACTTAGATTTTGGAATGAGCTACCTGCTGAGGTCTTTCAAGAAGGTTATATTAAGGATTTTTAAGGGTCGGCAACGCGCTCGCGATACCCCTGGTATTTCAGGTGTTCATTGGCTACAGTACCCGTTTCCATCAGATGAGCTGTATGCTTGTTTCCCCACCAAGAAAAAAAATGTTCACGACAGTTAGCCCCCCTGGAGTGGTCAGGGGCAATGCCACCTGTAGCCGTCGTGGAAAATGCAACACTTGACATTTCACTGGGTATATTTGTCATTTGAATATAACGTGTCAGACGACCAGCGTAGTACCGTCTCACGGAATAATTTAGTTTGTTAACGGTGTTGTCAACACCGCAAACTAGGTAAGTAATTTAAATTGACACACAATTTTTTTGGTGACAACCTGAATAGAACGCAAGACCTTTCAGTTTAAGTCAGGGTAGTAAACTACCAGATCACTGTGTCCTAAATCATTTATGGGTAACTTAATATGTATTTGGAAAACATACTTTATCATATCCAGCTGATGCAGTAAGACAAGGATGTGTGCCATCATACTTTGCTATTGTAACAACATTCGGTGTAACTTTATGATTTAATTCTAATTTAAATACTGGCTGAACTGTAGACACTTGCATATTGTTATTGTCTTTATGCAATTGTTTATTTTTTATTTGTTGTTTGTATATTTAATTTCATCATTGCCATAGTTACTGGAAGCTACCATAAATTATAGAACATATTCTCTATTTGATATTATAGGCTTACATATATAAAATACCTAAGTAATTGCAAATATCATGCGTAGCATTTCTATATGTTTAGTTTGTAATATTATCAGTCAGACAGTACCACGGTTAATTTCGCGTCCTAACTCAATACTATGTGCATGTTTAAAGGATTACAGAATATTATTTATGATTTATTACGACCACTATTTACGATCACCCTTATTTTAAGTAAATAACTAAATGTTTAAAATTAATATTTCTCTAGTTAGTTTAAATAAGTGATCAAGAAAATCTGAATAGGAACGTAGTGGTAAACTGTCAACGACAAAGCGTCAATGTCAAATTGTCAAAGTCAAGGCAACGATTTGAAATTTGCCGTCCGTCCTGCCTACAGTTTTTCTTCTACTGATATTTTCTTGTCATATTTTTTCAGACAGTTTTACGCATTCGAATAAATAACACGAACATAATTTAGCTTACTGCAGTTATTATATGTTTCTCGTGATAGTGATATGTTTATATTGAAATACGGACTTGTGACCAAATGGGTAGTGAATTAAATCTTCACACTACTGAATCCAGGTATAAAAATGTTGCGATTCTTTTTTCAAATATCATTGCGCAATTGCTTTATCATAGTGTATTGCTCTGCTTCCGGTTAGCGTATAGTAATGATAAATATTATCATTTAATTTAAATTTTCATTATAGGTTCTCTGCACACTGTCTGTTATGCCAAAATTCTTTGAGCCATATTACATTTGGACTAAATATATTTTGCCACTCATTTGTCATGTCATTATCAGCACATTGAGGTAATTTCACAATTGAGTACTATATTATATTATTAAATAAGTCTTAGTTACACCAAAGTATTATTTTGTCTCCACAAATCATACCATAATCATCATCATCATGCATATAAATTATAATAGTGATAGTTGCACTGGAATATTATAAGTGATATCCTTATTTTTAATGGAATTGTTTAATAACTTTTAAATTGGATCAATTTAAGGACTTTAAGGTTTTATTAATATAAGCAATCATAGAAAGAGAATCTTATAATAATAATATTATTGTCATAATTTATTACAATGCAATCTGATATGTTTCAGATATTAGTGCAAACACCCATGGGATATATCAAGCAAGTTATAGTTTGCTGTGGCCCTTAGTTTTTTTTTTGCATGTATTGGTTTATAAACAAGACATCTGTGTGTTTTTTTTTTATAGAATACTTTTAAAAGAAAATTTGGAAGAGCAAGAATCATTTACTGGCCTGTAGTCATACATCACAAATGCATGTATAGATTACTAAAGAGACTTCTCTGTATTTGTAGTCAATTCAAAAACAAAATGAAATTACATGTAATATTACATTGTAATGTTATCCAAATTAAGGATATGTAATATTTTTCAGCTTTGATTTCTGTCTAAAACTTTTTCAATAATAAGAACTATCATTGCCTTGCTTTCATACCATTATATGGGATTGACAGAGTATAATCGAGAATATTCTTATGTTCAATTCTAGTAATATTGGTATAATATTATAATACCATAGATTTATTTAAATAATATATGCTGGTGGTCACTCTATTCTCCCAAATTTGAATTTAAAAATTATTCTGTATTATTGTAAACATATACAATTTATTTGAAAAGAATACAAGCTGAGTTTCTTATCATTGCTTTTCATCTCTGTAAATCATTCCAAACTGACGGTATATTAGATATATCATAAGAGTCTGTAACAGACCTACAGAAATAATGATATTTTGAATTTCAATTTGAATTATAGACAAAATAACTTTTAAATTCTTCAATAAATCTGTAACCAACCTATATATTTTTCAATGGTTGAAGTATTATATCTATTTAGAATAAGCAATGGTTTTGAATTACAACTAATGTATGTTGTGTCCCATATAATTATATTCATTACGACAATCTCATAATCATTAAATCATTAACATGTATTTCAAATTTCAGTATAGTATGCAGGACATGGATTGGAACTATATTTTCCTTTGTGTGGAAGTAAGGATTATTCCAGTTAATGTCTATAGTTGCTTCATATAGATCTCCTTTGCATGTTTTAGACTGCTTATATAAATTATTTACCATGCTTTGACCTTATTTACAGTTACAGTTATTTGGATATAAAATATGTTGCAATGTCATTCTTTAAAAAATATTTTTGGTGAAATTGTTTAAGTTAAAATATAAGTCACTATTCATTAAATCACACACTGATTCTACGCCATTAAAATGGTAATTGTTCTTTAATGTAAAAACTAAAGCAAATATTTGACACATACTTTCATATTAGTGCTTCTATTGTATTTGTTTTGTTTTATAATTCTCATAGATATTAGAGATTTTTTTAGTTAGTCTTAATTTAAAAACATTCCATTAATTTCTTATAACATGTAGACATTAGCTAATAAAATCAATGATATTCTATATTAAGTCATGTCATGATATATTCTATCTTCACACCTATCAATTTCATTAAGTTCCATTTAGCTGATTATTATGAAGAGGTTTTTTTTTTTTTTTTTTCTCCGAGTACATTTGCGATCAGTCCCAGGACTATAAGCGAATATGTTCTGTGATGCTATCATGTAGAGCGGCTTCCCATTGGAAACCTTACTCATCTGCATCCCAGAGCTACTGCCGATCTTCTAGCTCCAGGATATGATGGCGTTTTAGTCGTCTCACATGCTGTACTATGGTGAGTTGTCGAGCAAGTTTGTTGGGGTGATGAATCAACCGTTCTTTATATTTGGCTGCCAAATTCCGAATTTCCTCCTTCACTGTTCTTATTTGAAGGTGATCATGGACTTCAGTGTTGGTTATGTACCATGGTATTTGTGCAATGGTTCTTAAGATTTTGTTTTGTTGGCGCTGGAGAATATTTATGTTGGAATCACTTGCGCTGCCCCATAGTTGCAGACCATACGTCCAAACAGGCTTCAAAATAACTTTATAAATGAGGAGTTTGTTGTCCATGGACAGTCTAGAGTTCCTTCCTAGCATCCAATATAGACTATTGTACTTTAGCTGTAGCTCTTGCTTTTTGCGATTGATGTGATATCTCCAGGTTAGTCTACGATCAATGTGGAAGCCAAGGTATCTTACATGGTCACTGTGAGGTAGAGTAGATTGGCCTAACATAACAGGTGGGCAGTCTTCTTTTTTGAGAGTGAATGTCACCTGGACAGACTTTGCAGCGCTAACCCTTATTTTCCATTTTTGGAGCCATTCATTCAACTTATTGAGGCCTTTCTGGAGGTTCTCCGATGCCAGTCTGGGATCTTTATTACTTGCCAGTATGGCGGTATCGTCTGCAAATGTAGCCGTGATTGTCCCAGGAGTAAGTGGTAGATCAGCAGTGTACAAAGTATAGAGCATTGGCCCAAGAACAGATCCTTGTGGTACCCCAGCATTGAGTTCTTTAAAATTAGAAGTGGCGTCACCTTCTTTCACATAAAATATTCGATCTTCTAGGTAAGATTTTAATAATGAGAAGTATGAGTGGGAAATACTCTGCTTGATCTTACATAGCAGGCCTTTGTGCCAGACCGTGTCAAACGCCTGCTGGATATCTAAGAACGCTGAAGAACAGTATTCTATTTGTTCAAGAGATGTTCTTATGGCGTCGCATACTCTGTGGGCTTGTTCTACTGTGCCATGCCGCTCTCTGAAGCCAAATTGGTGGTCTGGTATCACTTTGCCTTCTAAGAGGCTTGGCATAATTCTCCGTAGTAACATTTTCTCCAGTATCTTGGATAGTGTAGGTAACAGGCTGATAGGTCGGTATGATGTTTTGTCAGTTACTGGTTTTCCGGCCTTATAAATCATGATTACCTCCGAGACCTTCCACGCGCTTGGGAAATACCCTATTCGCAGCATAGAGTTAAAGATGGTAGTAATAAAAACAATAGCTTTTCTCGGTAGTTCTGATAGCACTTCTTTAGTGATGAGGTCGTATCCTGGCGCCTTTTTACTGTCTAGCCGACTGATGGTTTTTATGACCTCGGCGGGCGATATAGGTCTAGGGGCAAGTCCAATTGAAGGTCTTGTTTCAGGATTGCGTCAACGTATTCTTCTGAAGTGTTGTCTGATGTTTCATTTGGTTTAAAGACGCTTGTTAGATGGTCTGCAAATAAATCCGCTTTATCTTGGCTTGTTCTGGCCCAGTCTACGTCCTTTTTTATTGGGAATTTTGGTACGTTAGGTCTGTCGCAGCATCGGGTGGCCTTCCAGAGCGAATAGTTTGTAGCTTTAGTGGCAGTTAGAGACTCCAACTTTGCTTGCAGTGTAAGATCATTGACATTCTTTATGGCTTCCTTTAATTCAACGATGGCTTTGTTGAGGATGGCCTTATCTTGTGGATGACGGCTCAGCTGCCAATTTCTTCGTAGTCTGCGTTTCTCTTGAATCATGATCTTTATATCCAATTGCACATTAGTAGGTTGATACCTACGTTCGGTAGAAGGTGTGCATTTCCATGCAGCGACTTGGATGAGATTGGTAAATTGTATTACTGCTGATTCAATTTCCTCCGCTTCTTTGAGTCTAACATTTACATTGAGGTGTTCTTCTATGTATTCTCTGAAGGAGGACCAATCAGTACATTGATTGTACAATCTTGCAGGTGTCTCAAATTCAATAATAGTTGAGCTGATGGTTAGTAAAACCGGAGTATGGTCAGATGATCCATCAATACACGACTCAACTTTCATGTATTCTTTGGAGAGTCCTTTTGTTATGAAAAAGTCGAGTATGTCCGGGATCCGATTGTGATCAACAGGCCAGTAGGTTGGTTCTAGTGGTAAAATTGAGCTTAGCTTATTTTTGTCCATACACAGCTTTAATTGTCTCCCTCTAGTCGTTATTAGTCTGGAGCCCCAATGAACATGTTTAGAGTTCCAATCACCTCCTGCTATAAAACGATTTCCTAGACTTGAGAAGAAGCGAGAGAACAAGTCGGTGTCCATACGATGTTTTGGTGGACAGTATACAGCAGAGACATTAAGGTATCCACATCTGTCCTGTATTGCGACTGTAGTAGCCTGGATCTGTTCAGTTTTATATTCAGGTAGTAGATCATGCTTTATAGTATTCCGAATAATTATAGCTGATCCTGCATGTCCCGTACCATCTGGGTGGTTTGTAGTATATATCTGGAAACCTTTGATTTTGACGTTAGTTTTGTCTGTGCAGTGTGCTTCAGATATTAGGACAGCATCTAGTTTGTGCTCGGCCATTAGTATCTCGAGCTCATCTTTATTTGGTGAAAGTCCGTTTATGTTCCAAGTCGCTAATCTTAGTCCAAGGCCTGTTACCCTTGTAGTTTGGTTATGAGTGTGGTCATGAGACTCATTAGAGTACCCATTTGTTGTAAGATTAAGTCGAATTTCTCGTTTTGTTTGGTGAGTAAAGTTTCTAGTACAGTTAGGTTTTTGTTTACATTAGGTGTGCTATTTTCTTTGGTCGCTGAAATCGGTTTCTGTTTATCTGATACGTTTCTAGTAGCTTGGGCGTAGGAGAGTGGTTCATTTTCTTTCTGCGTAGATGAAGATTGTTGGGCAGTATTTTTACAAGAATTTTGATCTTGGATCGCGAGACTTCTAACAGCTCTTCTGTGACCGTACTTGTTAGTTTTTCTGGCAAGTATTTCCTTGTACACCTCACAACCTTTGTAGTTTGCGGGATGAGACCCTTGGCACAGCGCACATTCGGCTGGTGTGTTTCTATCGCGTTTTGGACAGTCTGAGGTTTTATGCGCCTGTGCACATTTTACACAACGGTAAGGTCTCATGCAGTAATTCTTTGTGTGCCCATATTGCTGGCATCGTTGACACTGTACAATTGAACTTTTCTTCCTGGGATCCTCAATGATTACAGACTGGTGGTAGATATACTTGATTTCTTTAGCGGCTTTGTTGTTTACACTAGGCAAGAGATTCACAAAGAATGTTGACGTAGGTTTCTTCTCTGGACCATATCTGGAGTTAATGATTTCCCCAACAACACTGTTTCCAGTTTTTTCAATTTCTTCCTTTATCTCACTTTTGGGTGTTGTGTGATGAAGATTCCGAATGACAATACGACAGAGCCGTTCTTCCTTTTTGTTAAATGTATGACCAATTAGACCATTTTCACGAAATTTACTGATGATTTTTTTGTAAGCTTCCATATCCAGGGTGTTAATTCTTAGTTGGTTTCTGTTTGAAATCCGATATGTGAATGCATTTTTATTAGCAACAGATTCCACGAGTTCAGTTAATTTATTGACATCTTCTATACCATACAGTATTATCGGAGGAGGCTTGCTAGATTTTGTTTTTGCGGGTTTCTCAATTGTAATGGGTTCTTCTGTTAAGTCGATTGGTAATTGGCTGAACATGTTGCTGGTGGCTAAGCTCTCTGGGGAATCACTGATTTTTTTCCGTTTCAGATTTCTAGTACCTGGTACTCTTTGCCATGAAGGTGGGCCTCGAGGGCTTGGCGATTCTCTTGGTGGTTCTTCCACGGTGTGTGAACATTCTGGAGATTTGCTTCCCAAAGAATGACTTCTAGGTCTGGTAATAAACAGACTGCGGTGAAAGGCCTGCTGAATAAGTTTTTTGCTGCCAGTAGTATTCACTGTAATGGAAGCCTGGTCGCCTACTTCCATTAAGTCTTCGGTAACTAATTTCACACCCTCCGGCCCGGGTACCGGAGAGCGCCGGGGGTTAGCCGGATCGCATGACGTACAATTGCTCTCATTATTTGACATTTCCATTTAAGAGGGGGGTTGGGAGAAGACACTCATACTACTTTCCCAGGGTAGTATTGCAGCTATTTTTAGGGGGCATTTAACTCCCCTAGGTCCGCTGTTGCCCTAAACAGGTTAATTAACCGCCGCCTGCGGCTCGGCGTTGACGAATTTTACGGTTGACTTTGTTTTCGTCGTTCTCAACCGACCCTCCTCTTTTCTCATCCGGGCTTGGGACCGACAATGGCAGAGTTAATAGTATAGTTATTATGAAAAGGTAGCTTAGAAACATACAGAGAAGCAGACACTTTTGCTAATTTCTGATATCTATTTTAAATAATTTATTTATTAACAGTACAATACATTGTTATAATTTATCCTTAAAGATAAGGTACAATTGTATGAATTAGATGAATGGCATTGAAAAATATTCATATATTAAAAAAAATACAACTCACAATATGTCTAATCACATAATTAATGATATTAGACAAGTGATAGACATACATTATGTATAGGAATTCAATGTATAAATAGATATAATGATCTACCTAGAGAATACACACAATATGAATGTCCTTAATAACATAAATTTGTTATCAATTTACTAATCACATTTTTCTGATCTTTGCACATTGAATCATATGCTTAATCTAGATATTAAGAACTGTAATATTTTCTATGTAGTGTAGACATTACTCATCAATTTATATGCGCATAATAATGCCATCTTGACTTCTGTCAAGTCCATAAGACAGAATTCAATACCATCAATCCTGTTGATTGGTTGGTAGTTTAATAAGTAGATATATTTTATATCCTAACAATTTCCCACATATTTGTTGGTGTAAGACTGACTGATATATTATATTTATCTTCTCGATGAAAATATTAACATTGTATTCTATGTATTCTTAAGAACAATAAGTACCTACAATCCTATTAAAAATATCACGTTTTTCATTATCATTTTTTCAAATGAAGGAACATTTGAAAAAATGATAAAATGTGATATTTTGTAAGAAAAGGAGAACACAGTTTTGGTTAAAATAGGTTTATAAGACGTTTTTGTGAATAGGGAGGTTAATCTATAACCATTATTATAGGTCAAGCCATTAACCTATTTACCATACTGGCGCCATTTGGGATGAATCCCGAAAATAATATAATGGGGAATAAATAATCAAACTAATCATTATAAACAATTTTTTATTATATTAATTTGGGAATATTTTAGCAGCTATGATTTTACCTTTACCTTGTTTTTTTTAAATTATTAAATTATTTATGTGACGTATGTATGTAGTACAAAATTCACACGGGGACACGAGAATCAACATGTTCGTAATATTAGTAAGAAAGCAATATCTTACAAACTGAAAAAAAATATAACTCATAATAAGTATTCACTAACATTAATATTAATATTGCTCAAGCTGTCAATACATTTTCATGTTAGTATTAATTTGCATTTAGAATTAGAATATTGCTACTAAATATGGTGACATTTATGTTCACACAAAATACATACAATGAAATTTACATATAAGGCCGCGTTCACATTACCATATAGTCAGCTGCCGACTAATGGTTATAAACTCGAAAATCTTACGAACAACTAATCGAGATGTTTTGCTCCTCGTATTTATAATTCCTTCTGTGATGTATCCAAATACCCGAAATTATATCATTCGAAAATCATTTCCTTAATTCTGATTTAAAAATGTTACAAGTCTGTAATAAGTTCAGTCTTAAATTTTGTTTTTAGTTTTTAATTTTAGATCGTAATTAATGGACAATTAATAGTATATAATAGAATAGTCTAACGTAACTTTTATCGGAATTATACATTTAAAATTAGACATAAAAAAATTAAGTATATTGTGTGTTTGGAATTGGTGAATAAAATACGTATTTGTCTAAATTATACATAAATATACTTACAATAAACGTATAAATAACATGAAACTTTAGTTACTTGGTTGTAGTTATTTTTTCATTAATGTGTTAAACACCTGATGCATGGAAAATTAGTAAACAGCGGAAATAGTCGGTGGCTGATTATACGTTGTTGTGAACACACCCTAATGTTTTAATTATTTTTAGCTGGACTGGAGGATGGTTCAGCTGGACTCGCCAGTCGGATACCATGCTACGGAACATCGAAAAGAAAATACTATCATGTAAGTTTTTTATATACTTATATAACTATTGGCCCGACCCGGCTTCACCCGCTTCATTAATTTTAATTACATATGTCATTGTTGTATATATATATTCCAACCATTCATACCACGCCGTGATAGTGTTTATAAAATCGGTGTAGTGGTTCCAAACTGAGGTTTCCTCATGACAAAATCCCTTCTCTCTATAATATTAAGTACATATAAATAATTCATATACTAGACTAAAACTTTTTCAATTCCACGTTGTAACATACATATGTCGGTAAAAAAATATTTTATACCAAATAACAAATTAATATATTTACGAATTCCCGAAATAATAATATTATACAATTGTAAATAAGCGTGAAATAAGTTTACAATCGTTTGAATTTGTTTGAATGAGTTTTTCTATTGCTACCGAGGCTTTATCTGCCAGAATGTGGTTTAAAATTATTATATACTATCTATCATATGCCAATGGATGATGATGGTAATTGCCATCATCCATTATCTATAGAATATATTCTAAATTACCATTTATCTGCAGTGAGATATTAATTATTTGATATGTCATGTTTGGTAGTATGATATGGATATAGAACACGTAGATATAATTGTAAATAAAGGCATTTGAATAATGTCCGTTGTTATGGACTGGACATTTACCATGAATAGCTAAATAATTGGTCTTCCAAGGCCGTCACAATATACATTTTAGCGTAAAATCACTAAATTACAAATCTAAAAATGAACGATAAGATTGCTCATAAAGAAAAGTAATCCTACAACAACTAATTAAATACTAATTATTTGTCTGATCCTCATATTTATATCTATACATCTATATATAATACCATTTCTACTTAACATCAATAGAGTGTTAAGTCCGCGGTATGTGCGTATTATTCGCGACTATTGTAAATATTTGATTATTGTTAGCTTAATAAAATTTATAATTGTAGTAGTTTCAATTCCCTAATAGGTAGAATTAAATATAATTGCATTGTATGTAAAGTTTAAATTAATAAATAAAGGAGCGAGTAGAGGTGGTCTTTCGCGCTCTCCGTCCCGCTCGCACCTATGTGCGTAACACAATCGTTACCTAGTACGTGACACGGTGCGAGCGGGCGGAGTATAAATATAGGTGCCGAACGCGGCACAATTCATTCCGCTTCCATCGCTAGTACAGACCACCGAACTCTGCTCGAGAGGATAATTACACTTGTCTTTCTTGTTTCCACCTGCACCCGCAACCTTACAAACAAGTACGGGGAATAGATACCCGTACATCTGGTCCTTCGAGAAGCCGGATTGTTGGAAGAAGAAAGCAAGACCATCTGGTCCTTCGAGAAGCCGGATTGTTGGAAGAAGAAAGCAAGACCATCTGGTCCTTCGAGAAGCCGGATTGTTGGAAGAAGAAAGCAAGACCATCTGGTCCTTCGAGAAGCCGGATTGTTGGAAGAAGAAAGCAAGACTGCACAGAGATCAAGATCACAGATGCCAACAACAAGAAGCCAAAGAACAGCCATGGAAGCTCAATCAAACGAAGAAAACACCGCCGCCGTCACGTCGCCTGTCGCCGCTACACCGACCGTCGCCGCCACTACGTCGCCTGCTGCCGCCACTACGTCGACCACCACGACGTACACGTCCTCGGAACCTACTGCTACCACGGAGACTTCCGCGGAGACTTCTGCGGAGACTACCACAACAATTCCAAGGGCGCCGCGCACCACAGCTTCAAAAAAGAAGAAAGAATTGGCTAAAGCCCGAGAAGAATTGCTACGCAAGGAGGTAGAACTGGCCGCCGCACGCGTCGCAGCATTGGAGGCAGACACGGACGACGAAGAGGAGGACGAAAATGAAGAGGACGCCGCCACATTAAGAAGAGAGAGGACTACGGACTGGATTCGCCGGACGAGCACATTGGCACTCACAATGGAGCCGCACACAGAGAGGACGACCGCCGACTTGCATCAGGGGATTAATATCTCATCGATACCCGCCGGAGAGGGAACGAAAGCGCCGCAGCCGCAGCCGTGCAGCGACGCATTCCGACGGGACCATGCAAGCCACAACGGTCCGAGGGAAGACTCCATAGCACCGATGATGCCAACGAAGAAAGAAGAGGATTCACTGAAAGGGGGCATCGACTATAAGGAATTGGCGACTGCAATGACTATGGCAGCTCGCGCAATTCAGCCCTCCACAGTGCCGCGAGTCACAGAACTACCACCCTTCAACGGCGCGTCAAGCGAATGGCTGCCCTGGAAGATGGCCTACGAAGAGTCTGCGGGGCAGCTGACCGAGCAAGAAAACTTGGGTAGATTACGTCGGTGTTTAAAGGGTGCGGCCAAAGAGGCTGCACACTGTCTTTTCGTTGGGGATACGTCTGCAGCAGAAGTAATACAATTACTTGCTACGAGGTTCGGCCGTCCAGGAGCACTCGTGATGGCCGAGATGAATAAACTTCGTGCGCTGCCGCGGCTGTCAGACAACCCCAAGGACATCTGTCTATTCGCATCCAGAATAGCCAATGTCACTGCAACAATTCAAGCCCTGAAGAAGAACCACTATTTGTACAACGAAGAAGTGACAAGATCCATCACGGAGAAGATGCCTTCTGCGCTACGATTCAAATACTACGACTTCGTAGCAGAACAGCCAGCTGATCAACCGGACCTGATAACGCTCTCCAAGTTCCTGCAAATCACCGCAGCCAGGTGCGGTGACTTCGCACCCGCCGAAATAATAGTAAATGAAGACCGGCGGGAGCCAGCAACGAAGAGAAGCGTGAAAACATACATCACGCAGGAGAAACCGACTTCACCGCCGTGTCCGACGTGCAACAGGGAGGGACACGCACCACCCGATTGCATCACTGTGAAGAACGCCGAGCCACAAGCAAGATGGGAGATAGCAAAAAAACACAGGCTATGTTTCCGTTGCCTGAGGATAAAAAGATTTCGTCACAACTGCAAGACGAAGAGATGCAACGTTGGTGGGTGTACACACCTACATCACCCACTCCTGCACGTCGACACCATAGAGAAGAAGGACAGCGAGCCCTCCGATGATAAAGCAGCCGCAGTCGTCGCGTCTGCGAGAGAAGATAAGAAGATCGCATTCCTCAAGATAGTGCCGATACAAGTGATCGGTCCCAAAGGAACGTGCGATACATACGCACTCCTGGACGACGGCGCAACGTGCACCATCATCGAAGAAGCAACAGCGAAGCAAATCGGCGCCACTGGTCCTCCCGCACCCTTCTACATAGAGGCCGTGGCCGGGACACGCATAAACGCCGATGAATCGAAGCTTGTCCACTTCACAATACGGGGACGAAGATCGGAAGATCATGCCGTGTCTGCGCGAACCATGAAGAAACTACTGTTATCTCCACAAACAGTATCACGCAGCGCAATAGAAGACTGTCCACACTTGTACGATATAATAGATCAGCTGACATATGAAGAAGGTCAACCGACGGTTCTGCTGGGTCAAGACAACTGGCATTTGCTGCTCGCACATGAAGTCAGAAGAGGCAATAAGACACAACCGGTCGCATCACTCACCGACCTGGGTTGGGTGTTGCACGGCACGGGAGCGGCGAGAGCGAGACAGCAAGTGCACAGAATCAGTCACTTAGTCGACGGGCAAGAAAATGAAGAATCCATAGAGCGATTAATGAAAGAACACTTCGCTCTCGAATCACTGGGCGTCACACCGAAGCGCTCATACAATGAAGAGGAACAACGCGCGCTGAAAATATTGCAAGAAAAAACTCGCCCGTTACCGGCGGGAGGCTACGAGACCGCGTTGCTATGGAAACGCGATAACGCAACGCCGCCGGCTAACTACGACTCAGCAATGCGACGCCTCGAGTTAATTGAGAAAAAACTCGACAAGAATGAAGACATGAAGAACAGATATAAACAGCAAATTACCACGCTGTTAGAAAGGGGATATGCAGAAATCGCCCCACCGGTGAAGACTGAACGAGTATGGTACCTGCCACACTTCGCTGTCATCAACCCACAGAAACCGGACAAGCTGCGCATCGTGCACGACGCCGCCGCCAAGACAAGGGGCATTAGTCTCAACGACATGCTGCTGTCGGGACCCGACCTACTCCAATCACTACCTGGGGTCCTCATGAGGTTCCGACAGCGCCGTGTGGCGGTCACAGCGGACATCAAGGATATGTTCATGCGTGTCACAATACGAGAAGAAGACCGAGACATGCAACGGTTTCTATGGAGAGGAGATCGACGCCAGGGTCCAGCTGTCGAATATAGGATGAAGAGCGTCATCTTCGGGGCCACTTCGTCGCCATGCACGGCGATATACGTGAAGAACAAGAACGCCGAACTACATAAAGAAGAGTTCCCGGAGGCGGCTGCAGCGGTGGTTGTCAATCACTATGTTGACGACTACCTCGCTAGCTTCGACACTGAAGAGCAAGCCGTACGAGTCTCAAGCGAGGTCGCCTACATCCACAGCCGGGCGAACTACTATCTTCAGCGCTGGGCATCGAACTCGCGCCATGTACGAGAAGAGTTCTCACATAGAAATGAAGAGAACATGGTGCAACTCGACGCTGAGAAGATACTGGGAATGGTGTGGCGGCCTGAGGAAGACAGTCTCGGGTTCAACTTCAACGGGAACAAACTTCCGTTACACATCATACGAGGCGAACGCACCCCAACGAAGAGAGAAGCCCTCCGCGCCGTTATGTCGCTGTTCGACCCATTGGGCCTGGCCACACCCGTCACAATACAAGCCAAGAAGATATTACAAGAAACGTGGCGCACGGGTATCGGCTGGGACACCGAACTGCAAGAACGGGAAGCAGCAGCGTGGCGGAGCTGGATATCGCACGCACAGCAGTTACCCCACTTGGTAATACCACGGTGTTACCCCGGTGTGGCGACGGCACATACGACGGAGCTTCACACATTCGTCGACGCGAGCTCAGATGCATACGCCTGTGTCGTATACTGGCGGGCCGTATG